TAGGTGGGCCCTCCTCCAACCTGGAGTGCGCGCGCACGGTGGCCGCTGAGCAGGACGGCCCACAGACCCACTCACCCGCTGACGTCACCACTCACCCTCCAGGGAACAGCCACTTGGCTGTTTTGCAGGAGATCATGGAGGAGGAGGACAGGGAGGGCCAGGGTCAGGAGGGAGGATGAGGCAAGGGAGAGAAGGGGGGAGGAAAGGAGAGAGCAGGAGGGGCAGGGAAGGGGAGGGAGGGCCTGGGCCAGGAGCCAGGAAGCGGGCAGGGGTGAGGGAAGAGGAGAGGAGGATGGCAGTGGTCAGAAGCCGCGTGGCCAGGTGTGGCTGGAAGCTGATAGCCCAAGTCGGCCTCACTGCCCCAGGGTTTTCCTAGGGGCAGGACTCACACTGTGAGTGGCCCCCAAACATCAGGTTCTGGGGTCATCTGGGAGGACCTTGCTCTGATTTCTCGGGAGCAGAAGCCTCCCGTCAGCAACCCAGGGCTAAGCCCAGCCCCAGCGCAAGCTGCACCAGAGCGGAGAGCTGCCCCGGGGGGTGAGGAAAACGCACCTTGAGAACATCCTGCCAGGCTAGGCCCATGGCCTATGGCTAAGGGGCCAGATCCCAATGGCCCATGGTGCAGCTGGAATCCCGCCTCTGGCGGTTCGAAAACCACCCTGGGTGTGTGTGAGCACGCTCAAGATCCTGACAGGGTGGCACAGTGGCCGAGAAGGGCTGGTGGCCCGGTCAACCCCCACTGGGGCTGCTTTCTCCCGCTCTGTCCCGGTCTGACCCTCTCAGGGCAGTCTCTGGTGGGGTCTGCTCCCTCCGGCCTTGACCATGAGCCCCACTTTGTCTCCTCTGGGACACGGAACGCGTGGCAGGAGCACTGGGGGCCTGGCCACGTCCCGAGAGGCCTGCGCGGGGCAGGCTGCCCGCGGCATGCCCAGGACCTCCGCCCTCACGCTGGTGCCCGGGCTTGCAGGAGAGCTCTTCTTCGACGTGGACAGCGGCAGGGAAGCGCCCCCGCACCCCCCG